GGCCCCCCCCCCCCGGCCAATTTACGCGTCGCTGCACTCGCACGGAAAGTGTTGTTCTCTCGGCGGCGCGTCGGCGCGCTGTGCCTCTCCGCTGCTCCACCTTGTCCAAGCGTGTGCACTTTTTCGCAGGCGTGGCTCAGTCGAGTGCATTAGCGCATCATCCTCCACGCTCCCACCATCTCGGCCGTCTGCGCTTCGAGCAGCAGCCTCGTCTTTCTCTCCATCGGTCGGTCAACTTCACTCACACCGCCATGGCGATCCTCGCCGTTCGCAGTCGCAGCACTCCGCTCTGAGCAACACACGACGCACATTCGTAGCGTGCCTTCGTATCGAGTCGCAGCAACCATGACAACACTGGCACCCGACCCGTTCCACCGTCCAGCCATGCCCTACCCACCGTCACATCCTCGCCACTACAATGGCGAACCCAGCCACAGTCAGCCCTCTCCCTCCTCTCAGCGCCTCCTCTCCCAGGTCCTCCCTCTGCAAGATCCGCCATCCTCATCTCAAATGCAGCTGCACCAAAACTCAATAGCAGACTCTTCTGCAACAGCCCACGGCTCATCGTCAGCTTCATTTGCGGTACAGCGGGCGGCTCTCAGCCTATCCTCCAACGCCGCTTCTTCTCCACCCACAACCGCTTCGCAGCTCAGCCATCCACCACCGCCACCACCACCTCCTCCGCATACACCCTCTCACTCGGCCCGTGCGACGCCGCAGCAAAAACGTGCTCGCCTTCACTACGACTTTGGCGCATCCCCCACCTCCACCACATCTGCACTTCCACCCATCGCTGCTGCATTCCTTGTCTCACCCAACACGCTCACCACAAGCTCTACCGCCACATCCGCCGTCAGACCGCTTTCGGGCATCGCAAGACCGTTGCCAATGCCACCCACACCAATGCCTCCGCAGCGCTCTCCGCGTTCCGTCAATTCCAACCAACCCTTGCAGCCATTGCCACAGCGCTCCGTACACGACTTTGAGAAGCTCATTCCACAGCGTCGTCCTCCACCCCCAATCGCAAATGGTCGAGTCGGGCCACAGCGTGCACTCTTGCAGGCCATCCCTCCACAGCCTCCCCCCGTGCAGCCGGCGGTGCACGCCCCCGCCCCTGCTCCGGATCGGCGACCACCCCCTCCAAGCATAGAAACCCTTCCGCATAGGCCCGAGAGCCTTCTGACAGGATTCCGCTCCCTAGACCTTGACCTTGATCGCATCGCCGAGATCGCGAGCCTCGAGCATTTCCATGCACACAACCTACCGACATCACATAGAGGTCCTGGCACAGACTCGCCGCAATGGCTCCATACGTCACGTGGCCTCCCATCTGGGTCCATAATCGAGGCCATCGGCCCTCCAGGTAGTGGCAAGTCTTCCTTCGTCGTCCAGACGGCTGTCACCGAGCGTCTCAGGTCCTTGGCTCGAGCGCGCAGATCCCTCGAGCACCAAGACAGCGACGAACACAACTCGCAAGCAGAGACCGACCGACAACATCCACCCAGCACGGATGCACATCCGCACGCCATCTTCTTCACAGACGACTTTTGGGACGCCGAAGTGGCCAGCGCCGATCAGGTCCTGCTCATCGACTGCGAAGGCGCACTCACGCCCGAAAAGATCGCAGACGCTGCGTGGAGCACCGTCGCATCTCTCTGGTCATCGGTGGAACAGCGGACCCCCCTGAACGACGCAACCGGAGAGGCCACAACGACGGCGCCAGACTGGGCAGCGGAAAGTCGTGCTGCCATGCCGGAAGTCGTGCGTCGCTTGGTCGCGGCCGTTCTGGCAGGCATCCACATCAACCGCGTCACGAGCACTGCGAGTCTCGTTGCACTGTTGATCTCGCTGCGGCCCACAGACGAGCTTCAAGATGGCCAGGCTTTGCCCTGTTCCATGCCGTCACGCACGTCACTGATCCTCATCGACTCGCTCTCCTACCACCTTCGGCTGTCGGGCGCCAGCAGCTCGGACCGCAAAACAAACCAGCAGCTCAGCGAGCGCATCCGCGACATGCTGCTTCGGCTGCAGAAGCCGTTCGAACATCGACCCAAGCCAGATCTTGGCCCTGAAGAGCGCGATGCTGCACGACGACGCGCCTCGCAAGCGGCGCAGAAACTGTGTCTGCCGACGATCATCTTTACGAATCAGATGGGCATGCGTCGCGATCGAGCCGAGTTGGAAAGCTCGGGTCGCAACAGTCCGTCTGGCTGGGCCGTTGCCAGTCCCGGCTCGCGGTCATTCCGAAAGAACGCCCCGCGCGGCGACGGACCTTCGATGCTCGCGCCGCTCTTGAACGGACAACGGCCGCCGCAGCCTGCAACCATCCGCGACGCGCCCCCTGCTCCGAGCGTGGCGCTGTGCGGGCCAGAGATGGGCGAGGACGGCGAGGCCCTGCTGCTGCCGCGCATGTCGCAGCAAGCACGGAGTCGTGCGTCCGGACAGGCGAGTCCACAGCTGGGCCACGATCGAGGTTGGCCACCTAGCTTCCTCGGGCAAGACGTATGGAGGATCCTGCTCTTTCGACACGGCACCGCCGGTCGCAGATTCGCACAGATTGTCTCGATTCCGCCGGCGGTGCAGAGCGAGCTCAGTGAGCTGTGGGTCCAGACGAGAGCGCGTGCACGTGCGTGCGCAAGTGCCGCCTCTGGCCAAGACGCAGACACCTCAACCTCTTCCAACGATGGGGCTCAAATCGGCTCTGATGCGAACCCAGCAGCGTCTTCGACTTCAGCTGAAGAACAGCTGGCTCGGGACAAAGACCAGCGCATTCTGGAGCTTCTGGCCCAGCTGCGTACAAGCTTGTACCGCTGGCGTCCGTTTCACGTCGCTTCCGCCGGCCTGATCTCTTAGCTTAGCAACCAGCAGTAAAACTGGCTACGTATTCGCGCGAGCGATCACCACGCGAGTGTAACCAAGTGCGTCTGAGATGCGGTCCTGCATCAGCATGTCTGTGGCTTGGCGTTGGGAGAACGATGGTCAGGCTGCGATGGAAGGCGACAAGGCACTGGAATGCGATCTCACACCCGTGCATAAGTATTTGTCATGCTTACAGTGACAGGCTGCAGGTCGAGCTCGAACCCTGTTTGCGAAAAAGTGGGAATTTGTCCGGCTGTGGACTGAAATTTTTGCTGGCCAGGGTGCGGCTCTTTTTGCATTTTGGGCGCCGACTCCACCTCGAGTTTGGAAGAAAGGCTGAGCCTTGCTGCACGCTTCTCCTGCGCACCACCACCCGCCTTCTCACATAGCACTGTTGCCTTGCTCGAGAAGCGCTCCGTCACCAGAACCAGCACAGCCCATCTGGAGACTCGACGCAGCGCGAACAGCATTACCGCCCTCATTTCCTTAGCAACGTCGGTGTAGGCTTCGAGTCGCGGCACCGCGCACCAGAATCAAAAATGGGCAAGCAGACCAAAGGGACCAAGAAGTTCCTGCGTACGCAGCTCGACAGCACGATCAAGCGACGACGCGAACACCAGAAGAAGCGCAAGGTCATCGAGCGCTCCGCAGCAGCCAAGAAGCAGAAGCAGCTGCGCAATACCGGCAAGAAGGGCAAGGGCGCCAACCGCGAGGAGGCGCCCGAGGATCTGGCCGAGTTTGACGAAGACGACGATGTAGCCGACAAGATGGCCGCTGATGCAGGCAAGAGCGGCCTCAAAGGCATGAGCGTCGACGATTTCCTCGGTGGAGGATTCAAGAGCGCTGCTGACGATGACGAGGACGCGGAAGACGACGAGGAGGATGACGACGAGGACGCAGCAGACGATCTCGAGGACGTCGAGGAGATGTCGGATGAGGAGGGCGCCGGCATGCACGCCCAGGACCTCGAGAAGCTCAAAGAGAAGGACCCAGAATTCTACGCCTACCTCCAGGAGAACGATAAGGAGCTGCTGCAGTTCGGCCAGGAGTCCGACGATGACGAGGATGACGACGAAGAGGAGCAGAGCTCTAGCAAGGCCAAAGCGACCACATCCAAAGCGGCCAAGGCGGAAACAGGGCCGCAGCGAGTCACGATCAAGATGCTTGCCGGATGGCAAAAATCGATGCTCACCCACCGATCTCTCAAGGCGCTGCGTCGATTGCTCATCGCCTTCCGCTGTGCCGTCAAGCCCGAAGAGGAGGACCAGCGTGCGGAAGGTGCCTCGTTCATCATCGAAGAGGCGCGCGTCTTCAACAAGCTCGTCCTGACCGCACTCAAGTACACGCCTGTCGTGCTGCAGCACCACGTGCCGCTTTCGGAGGACAAGCAGGGCAACATCAAGATCCCGTCGAACAACAAGAAGTGGAATCTGATCAAGAAGCCGATCCAGTCGTACTTTAGCAACCTCTTCCTGCTCACCGAGACGCTGACCGAGCCGCGCATGCTCGAGATCGTAGTGCGCGAGAGCACGCGCATGGTGCCGTATGCGCTGTGCATCCCCAAGACCACGCGCGAATTCATCAAGGTGGCGCTCAACCTGTGGTCGAGCCAGGTGTCGGAGGACGGCGTGCGCATGTCGGCCTTCCTCACGCTGCGTCGACTCGGCATGGCGGGCGGCACGGCGTCGCTGGAAAACGTACTGCGCGGCGTCTACTCGTCGTTCATCCAGTCGAGCCGCTCGGTGAGCATCCACACGCAGCCGATGCTCAACCTAATGAAGAACACCGCCGTGGAGCTGTACCTGCTCGATGCGGACGTGGCGTATACGCAGGCGTTCGGCTTCATCCGTCAGCTCGCCATCCACCTGCGCAACTGCATCAAGACCAAGACCAAGGACGCCTTTAAGGCGGTGCTCAACTGGCAGTTTGTGTCGGCGGTGGAGTTCTGGTCGCTGCTGCTGTCGCGCGCGTGCGACCAGGAGTCCGAGGCGCAGGCGGGCGTCGAGTCGCCATTGAAGCCGCTCATCTATCCGCTCGTGCAGGTGGCGACGGGCGTGGTGGGCATGGTGCCCAACTCGCGCTACTTCCCCTACCGTCTGCACCTGCTCAAGGCCATGATGCGCATCGTGTCGCGCACGGGCACCTACATCCCGCTGGCGCCGCTGGTGCTGTTCGTGTTCGAGTCGCCCGAGTTCCAGCGCAAGCTCAAGGGCTCCACTGCGGCACCGATCGACTTTAGCACGACGCTGCGTGCCCCGACACAGATGGTGCGCACAAGACCCTACTCGAACCAGCTGCTGTCCGAGTACTCGTTCCTGCTGCTCGAGTTCTTGGCGTCGCAGTCGAGGTCGATTGCGCTGCCCGAGCTGGTGCTGCCGCTGCAGATCCAGCTCAAGAGGCTGTCCAAGACCACGACCAACGCCAAGTTCCAGGCAGAGGCCAAACAGCTGCTCGACAAGTCTCACCAGACCGCCCTGTGGGTGGGCAAGCAGCGCGAGGCGATCGACTTTACACCCAAGGACCTCGACAAGGTCAAGAACTGGGAGATGGACGCAAAGGAGAACCCGCTCGAGGCCATGCTTCGGCTCGCAAAGAAGGTCCGTGCCAAGCAGGAGGCGCTCATCAAGGCTCAGGCACAGGTCGTTCGCGACGAGGACGACGAGGATGAGGACGAGGACGAAGAGGATGACGAAGATGAGGATGAGGACGAGATGGAAGTTGACGAGGACGACGAGGACGACGAATAGGTCGCCTTCACAGTGTAGCTTCCGATGTACAATTTAGCAATCATGACTTCATACCGCCATAGCATGGTGTCAAAGCACAGACTTGTCCGTGTGCCGTGTGACGATGGATGAGGTGCCAATCGAGATATCACCAAGTGGAGTGGTTACTGTGGAGGCTCGTCTTCGGCTAATTTTTTGCCTTCTTTTTCTTTCTCGCATTTTTTTGCAAAATGTCTTTCGGCGCTGGATCTCGCAATTTTCCGCTCTCCGGCCTCAGCCGCACCAATTTTTGGGCGGTAGGGTGGTGGCGATTTTTCAGAGGACCCCTTTCGAGAAGAACTGTGCATTGGCCGTGCTGAGCTGAGCTTTTGAACAGCGGCTGCACCGCCAGCATCACCTTCCGCTCCACCCTCATCTTGCAACTCACCATGCTGTCAAGGTCGACGCTCTCAATAGCGAGCGCTCGCCGCGCAGGCTGGGCAGCGCCGACGTCCAGCGCCCGTCTGGCGCTCGCATCAACATCGGCAGCGCCAGCTGCCACATTACGCACCTTTGTCTCCTCGTCGCCAGTCGAGTCAGGACGAGGCGGGGCCGGCGACCGACCGTCGTATTCGAATCGCGACGCAGATCGCAACAACCCACGCCGTCCTCGCAACCCGGACGCAGGCGGCAACGCAGTTCAGCAGTTCAGTCGCAACCAGCGCTTCGCACCCGATGGCACCAGGAAGCGCCTCCCGCATCCCAACGCCAGGCCCCGCTCGCAGCATGGCAAGGACCGTGGTGAGCCCCGCTCGCAAAGGCCACAGCGCGACGACGAGTCGATGCACAAGTTCGGCTCGGCCGAGCCTTCGTCCTCGTCAGCGTCTAGCAGGAGAGACTCGACCGTGTCCAGGATCCGCGCTCGCAACACTCCATCGGCTGCCGGGCAGGAAGGCGAGGATTCACGATTCGGCGAATCAGAGCCAGCGGATGCTGTAGCGGGGTCAGGAACAAGAGGCGACGACGAGGGCATCTCGAGCGGTTCTCGGGCGTTCGAAAAGTCGGATCGACACCACGCCGCCAAGCAAAAGAAGAAGGAGGGCCGCGGATCCTTGCTCGACGCAGATACCGACCACAGGCGCGGTGCTCCTCGAGCTCAGCAGCATGAATCGCACACGCGCAACGCCCTTGCGCGCCGCTCAAAGGGCCCCGTCAACGACGCCTCGGGCGCACCCGAAGCCGAGCCCGAGGTCAAACGAGGCGCTGCCAAGCCCAAGATCATCAAGGTCAAGCGCAACCTGTTCCTGCCCGAAGTCATCTCGGTCATCATGCTTGCCACGCGCATGGAGAAGAAGTTGCGTGCGATTCAGACCATCATGGCCGATCTGGGCATGCAGGACACGCGTCCGGATTGCATGCTCAAGTTCGAAGACGCCGAGATGATCGCGGCCGAGTTCAACGTGGTGGCGATCGCCAACGACGAGGCGAGCTTCGATCTCTTCCCGCGCCCGCCACCCGAGACGGAGGAGGAGCGCGTGAGCTTCCCGCTCCGCCCGCCCGTCGTCACCATCATGGGCCACGTCGACCACGGCAAGACGACGCTGCTCGACAAACTGCGCAGCACCTCGGTGGCTGCGGGCGAGGCGGGTGGCATCACGCAGCACATTGGTGCGTTCAGCGTGCCAATCTCGGGCGTCGAACAGGACAAGGGCAAGCGCAAGGGCTACAAGGGTATTCAGACTATCACCTTCCTCGACACGCCCGGGCATGCGGCATTTACGGCCATGCGGAGTCGAGGCGCGATGGTGACGGACATTGTGGTGCTCGTCGTGGCGGCCGATGACGGTGTGATGCCCCAGACGCGCGAGGTGATCAAGCTCGTGCACGATGCCAATGCCGAGGCGGCGTCGTCCGACGGCATCGAGCAGCACAGGGTGCAGATGATCGTCGCGCTCAACAAGGTCGACAAGACCGATGCGGACCCAGAGCGGGTCAAGCGCGAGCTGCTTGCGGCCGGCGTCGAGCTCGAGGAGCTCGGCGGCGACATCCCCTGCGTCCTTGTCTCCGGCAAGACGGGCAAGGGTCTGGACGAGCTCGAAGAGACGATTGCCGCCGTAGCAGAGCTGGCTGATCTGCGTGCGGAGAAGGTGGGCCTTCCCGAGGGATACGTGATCGAGTCGCGCGTCGACAAGGGACGCGGCAATGTGGCGACGGTGCTGATGAAGCGCGGCGAGCTGGTCAAGGGCGCCAGTCTGATCGCCGGAACGTCGTGGTGTCGTGTGCGAGCGATTCTGCATTCGGGCGGGCGACCGTTGGCCAGGGCGTTTCCAGGGGACCCCGTATTGGTCGCGGGATGGAAGTCTCTGCCGACGGCAGGAGATCTGATGCTGGGAGCGACGGACGAGGCGTCGTGCAAGAAGGCGATCGAGAACCGCAAGAAGGCGATCGAGCAGAAGCGGCTTTTGCAGGACGTGGAGCAGATCAACGAGGCGCGCCGCATCAAGGCCGAGCTGGAAGAGGCCGAGGCGCGCAAGGAGTTTGAGGAGCGCCAGCGCAGGCGTGCTGCTCGACTCGCCGCCAGCGACGGCAAGGATCCGCTCGCGGCAATCGCTGAACTCGACGAGGCGGCTGAAGCAACTCCTCGCGCTGCTCCGGAAGAGCAAGTCGAGGTGGAGACTAGCACCGAGCCGGAAGCGGTGGGCAAGAAGATGCTCAACGTCATTGTCAAGGCCGACTTTAGCGGCACAGTCGAGGCGGTGGTGGGTGCGATTGCGTCGATTGGCAATGCCGAAGCTGGCGTCAAGATCGTCTCGGCCACTGTCGGCGAGCCTTCGGAAGGCGATGTAGCCAAAGCGGCTGCACTGGATGCAACGATCATCGGGTTCAACGTGAACCCGTCCAAATCGGTGCTTCAAGCGGCTAGTCGAACCAAACCGACGCCGGTACGCATCATTGCCTCCGACGTGATCTACCGCCTGATGGAGTCGGTCTCCACCTCGGTGGCCGAACTGCTTCCGCCGCTGATGGAGCCGCGCGTGCAGGGCGAAGCGGTGATCAGCCAGATCTTCGACATCAACCTCAAGAAGAACGCCACGCGCAAGATCGCCGGCTGCAAAGTCACCAACGGCACCATCTCCAAATCCGTCGGCGTGCGCATCCTGCGCGGTAAGGATCGCACAGAGGTCTACAGGGGCAGACTGGACCAGTTCAAGCATCTCAAAAAGGACGTCACCGAAATGCGCAAAGGCACCGAATGCGGTATGGCCTTTGAAGGCTTCCAGGACATTCAGCCCGACGATGTCGTACAGAGCTTCACAGAGGTCGCCGTACCAAGGACGCTGTAACTTTCCGATTGCGATGCAATATCATAGACTTGCAAAAGCGCAATGCGAGATGTGGGGCTAGGCCGCAAGAAGTGCTCGACGCTGCGCGAGAAGCTGACGTGCGTGCTCGCGCGCGCGGTTCGGTGCAGCTGGTTGCGACGTCGGCACCGAGGGGAATGCCGGCTCTGCCACCTCAAGCACCTTCTCCACCTTATCCACCTTCTTCACCTTGTCAGCCTTGTCCGTCTCTTGGGACTTTTGAGGTTTCCTGCTGGCCTTGAGCGATTCGGGGAGGAGGTTGGGCTTGGGCTGCTTGAGCGCAAAGCGCGCGTTGCGCTTGACCATGCCGAGCTCGAGCTGCTTGGCAGCGAGCGCGATGGACCAGTGGACGTTGTCCTGCGCCAGTGCGTCGTGCGCCTTGCGCAGCCGCACGAGCTCCAGCTCGGCATTCGCCAGCTGGCGCTCCAGCACCACCACCCGCTCCGACCCGCGCGTCGTTTCCTCCTGCTGCGGCTCGGGCTGCGGCGGCGGTTGCGCATCTCTCACCGCGGCGCGGGCGGAGAGCAGCTCCTCGCCAAGGCGAACAAGTTTTGCGTCCTTGTCGGCAAGCTCCAAACGCAGGGTAGCTAGCTCCGCGTCGAGTTGAGCGAATTCCGCATTCTTTCCGGCAAGTTGCTCGCGTAATGTTGCAAGCTCAGAGCTCGCGGCTGATTCGGCGAGATCTTCCTCGAGCTGGGCGGCGTGGTCCTCGGCTGCGTCGCGCTGCGCAGCGACGTCGCCGAGCTCGGCGCGCACGTCGCACAGCTCTTCAAAGCGCCGGTCGAGCTCGGCGGTCAAGGATTCGACCTCACGCTGCAGCTCCACCTCGTTGCCTGCAGTCAGCCTCTCGTCTGCGGCCGCGCCAGAAAGGCTGCGAGAGGCAAGCTGTTCCTCGAGCTCGCGGATTCGCGCTTGCAGCGGCGCGTCTTCCATCGCACGACGCACGGCAAAGTCCTTCTCGAG